AAAAAAACAATGCTAGGATTTCCGTACATTTTTTCTCTAGATAGGCGATTCGCCGTCACTGAGTAGTAAACCCTAAATCTCAATCGGCGCCTGACTCTTTGTCCGCGCTGTTCATTAAGCCCTTGGTGGCTTCTGTTCCTGTAGATAGAGCAACATCCTTCAAATATACCTCCAGATCTGTTCCGGAAGAACCCTCATGATGTTTCATCAGCGGAAGCGAAAGGAGAAGGATCTCATGGAGGAACTCAGAAAGCTAGACCTGCTGGGAAAAGGAGATCCAGTCGATGTTTCAGATCTGGAAAATGATGACCTAATCGAAGAAAGCTCCACGAGTGTGATTGTTCGCTGTCTCAATCCCACAGTCCACAAGGTGGGTGGTCTAGTCAAGGCTCTGCCCCCCATTTGGGGTATGGAATATCGAGTTAGAGGTCATGGGGTGGGTGCGGACCATGTGCAATTCATCTTTCAAAATGAATCAGACCTCCTTCATGTTCTCAACAGGGGGCTATGGTTTGAAAATAGATGGGTTGTAGTGGTTGATCAATAGAGTTCGCATCCTGGACCCGACTTCTTGAAGCGTGTGGCATTCTGGATTCAAATCTCTGGATTCCCGATTCACCTCATAAAGAAACAGGCTGTTGAGAGCATAATGGAGCCTTTGGGTCAAGTGGAGAATGTGGAACTATACGCTAAACAATCTGACTCCCTGGAATATGTGTGAGCGCGAGTGTGGGTTAATGTCGATGAACCATTAAAATTCAGGAAGCTAGTCAGATTCTCCACTTGGGAAGCAGTTCTCACCGAGTTAAAGTACGAGAAATTATTGGAAGTCTGTTTCCTTTGTAAGCTACTCACGCATGATCAGCCTCACTGCCCCCTACATGTCCCAGACCCTCATCACACCTCAGCGAGAGGAGCACAAGGCCCCATCAGGAGAACTCGGACAGTGGCCATCATAGGAGACAGAGTTCATCGATTGCAAGGAACAAGCGCATTCCAGTAAAAGATCAAGTTGTCTTCCTGGATTCACGTACGGTCTCACCACCAAAGTCAAGAAATGTGAAGGAGAGGATTCAATGGTCCAAATCGGATCCACGAGGCAAAAGGAAACAAATTCAGCAAGTCTGGAAACCCAAGATGGCAACAGAGGTTAAAGCTGTTAACACTGACGGAGCTGGAAGCTCGAAGATATCAAGGGAGTCTGTCGTCTGAACTTCAAAGAAAAGATGACTCAGTGGAAGTGAAGGAAGGCAGCGGAAGAAAGCAAAGCTTGGAAGTTTGGAACCATCTACTGGTTCATCACCATCTCAAGAGAAAGCCGATCTCAAGTGTGCTGACACGGGATCAAAGAAGTCACAAGCATCTCACTCTGCCAATAAGGCAGCCTTGGTTCCAGATCATTCTGTCTCTCTGACAGGCCTGGTCCGCATGGGAAACTCAGAAGAAGGGTTGATGGTTAATACCAACCCTTTGTGCTTTCAATGAGAATTCTGAGCTGGAACTGTCAGAGAGTGGGGAGTACTCGGATAGTTAGTCACCTGAGGGAAATACAAGGTCGGTATTTCCCGGAGGTAATATTGCTCTGTGAGACCAAAAATCGTCGGAAGTATATGGAAGGTGTTTTGGCTCATCTGGGTTATTTTGATATATGTACAGTGAGCCAGTAGGTAAGAGTGGTTGTCTTGCACTGATGTGGAAGGAGGTAGTTTCAGTGAAAATCCTCCACGCTGATAAAAATATGATAGATGCGGAAGTTATCTAACATGATAAACTATTATATCTAACATGTGTTTATGGAGAACCAGTTAAGAAGAATCGGGGTGTAGTATGGGAGAGGCTTCTGCGAATTGGAATCAGCAGGGTGGGACCATGGATGCTCACTGGAGATTTTAACGAGCTGCTTGACAAGTCAGAGAAACGAGGAGGAGCTGATAGGGATGAAGCTTCTTTCCTGGATTTTAAGCGTATGATGTACCAATGTGGGCTGTGGGATGTCAAGTTTACAGGGAACCAGTTCTCATGGTTTGGGGGTGCGAAATGAGGAATTAGTGGAATGTAGATTGGATAGAACAGTTGCGAACCAACTTTGGAGCGAAATATTCCCAGCTGCTAAGGCTGTTTATCTTGAGAGAGTTGGTTCCGACCATAACCCTCTAATCACTTGTCTCCTAGGAGAAAACTGGAGAAAGTGGACGACCTTTCGGTATGACCATAGATGGATCCAACGTGAAGGCTTCAGAGATGTAGTTAGTAATCATTGTAAGTCCTCTGCCCAATCCAGGAGTTCAATGGTGGAGAACCTAGAAGGATGTCGCAGAATCATTTCTAAATGGAAGAGGCTGGTCAAGCCAAACTCGGAGCAACGCATCCAAGATCTAGCTAGACAGATTGATCAGGTATCCCGACAGAGATCCCTCAACCAAGTGAAACTCTCTTAACTGAATAAAGTACTCTTAATTGAGTACCAAAATGAGGAGAATTTTTGGCAACAAAAGAGCAGAAATTAATGGCAAAAAGTAGGGGACAGGAATACTAAGTTATACCATGCAGTTACTAAGTCCAGAATAGCCCAGAATAGGATAAAAAAGTCTGCTGGATACTGATGAAAATAAGTTCTTTGTGGAGAAGGACCTAGGGAGAATTTCAGAGGACTACTTTAAGCTTCTATTTGCTTCGGAGGATATTGGATACCACCTGCGAGAGCTCAATGGTATCCAGTCTATCATTTTGGAGGAACAGAACGACTCTCTCCTCAAGGAGGTAATGAAGAAAGAGGTGAAGTGTGCCACGTTTAGTATCAACCCCTCTAAATTCCTTGGTCCTGATGGTATGAGTGGCTATTTATTCCAACACTTCTGGGAAGAGATGGAAGATCAGCTTACGGAGATGGTTCATAACTTTTTCAACACAGGCATTATGGTGGAAAACCTCAATAGCAACAACTTATGTCTTATCGCAAAGACTTCCTCTGCCAAAAGACTAACAGAATATAGACCCATCAGCCTATGTAATATGGCCTACAAAGTAATCTTCAAAGTGTTGGCGATCAGGCTGAAGCGAGTACTTCCAGATATCATTTCAGACACCCAGGCAGCTTTTGTCAATGGGCGTTTGATATCTGATAATATCCTGATTGTCCACGAGATGCTCCACACCCTGAAGTTATCAAATAAGTGTGCTGAAGAGTTCATCGCCATTAAAACTGATATCTCTAAGGCGTATGACAGAGTGTAGTAGCCTTTCCTGGAAGGAAGATGCAATGAGGGTCCTGAGTTTTGCAGACCGTTGGATCAAGCTGATCATGGTTTGTGAAAAAACAGTGAAATATCAGGTCCTGATTAATGGAACCTCATACGGTGATATATATTCTTTTCGTGGTCTGCGATAAGGAGACCCCATCTCTCCATATCTCTTTGTCATCTGCACGGAAATCCGGATACAAATGTTAGTTCAGGCGGAGAGAGATGGACGTATCACAGGTCTTAAGGCAGCTCGTTCCTGCCCTCCGGTGTCGCACCTTCTATTCACAGATGATAGTATCTTATACTGTAAGAGTGAAAATGGGGAGATATCAGAGGTGGTTCGCATCATAGAGGAGTACAGCCTCGCCTTAGGCCAAAAGGTAAACTATGATAAATCAAGCATCTACTTCGGTATACTGATTTCCGAGCAGAGAAGGGAGGAGATTAAGAGCATGCTGGGAATCGATCAGGAAGGGAGAGAAGGCGTGTATCTGGGTCTCCCAGAGGCTTTTTCAGGATCAAAGGTCTCCATTCTCATCTACCTCAAGGATCGAATGAATCAAAGAGTAGAAGTATGGCAAAATAACTTCCTATCTCAAGGATGGAAGGAAGTCCTAATTAAGGTGGTGGTCCTTCCAACATACACGATGCAGTGCTTCAGACTCCCCAAAACAGTCTGCGAAGGTTTAGCCTCCATCATGGCTAACTTCTGGTGGAGGAGCAAACAAGAGTCCAAAGGAATTCATTGGCAAGAATGGGAGAATCTCTTCAAGGACATAGAAGCCTTCAACACTGCCTTATTGGGGAAGCAACTCTGGAGAATCGTAACAGAACCCCAATCTTTACTCTCTCGAGTTTACAAAGGCAGACACTTTAAAGACTCTGACCCTCTTTCTGCGACTTTAGGCTCCAGACCATCCTTTGCATGGAAAAGCATACATAGTGCTCAATCGCTGATCAAAGAGGATATTTGGATGGTGGTTGGGAGTGGTGAATGCATTAAGTTTGGCTGGACCCTTGGATTGGCAGTAAACCAGCCATCTCGGTTCCATTTACAAGACTAATTCCCACGAACCTAAGGACCTTCATGTCTTCGTCCTTACTAGTTAAAGATCTCCTTAGAGAGGATGGGCGAGAGTGGGATCGCGGTCTCCTGGAATCTCTATTCACAGAAGACATAATCATAAACATTATGAAGATCAGACCGGGTGGAAATCTTAGCAAGGATGTGTTTTCTTGAGATTTCACGCGTGATGGGAAATACTCTGTGAAATCTGGGTATTGGATTGTCAAGCATGTCCTGCAAATGAAGGGTATCGATCAGGAGGTCTTGCAGCGGAGTTTCGACCCTCTGTTCAAGCAGATCTGGCAGCTGGATGCAAGCCCAAAAGTGATTCACTTCATATGAAGATCCTTAAATAACTGCCTCCCGGTCACAGCGATTTTGGCACGTAGACACATGGTGAGAGATTCATCTTGTCCATGATGTAATCAGGGAGAGAAAACTGTGAACCATCTCTTATTTGAATGCTTGTTTGCTCGTTTAGTGTGGGCCTTATCCCCGGTTCCAGCTCCACCAAATGGGGAAATGGCAGAATCTTTCATGACAAATCTCCATCATGTCATGAATATTCCTGACTCTTTCCAATGCGAGCACAATTGCTTGTTCCCTGGTTACTATGGAGGCTTTGGAAAAACCGTAATGAGTTGACACATAAAGGGATAGAATACTCAGCTCAAGATTCCATTCTGAAAGAAATGGAGGATGCGGAGGAGTGGACCAAAAGAGAAGATGAGGATATTTCACCTCCGAGAATCCTCCGATCACAGCGCAGAAGCGATGCAACTAATGAGAACACCAGGAGGACTCCACCTCCTCCAGGATGGTTTAGTGAAATTCGGATGGAGCTTGGCATCCAAAAGGTCAAAGAAGCAGCATTGGATGGGTTCTTAGAGATGCTAGAGGCACGGTGAAATGGATGGGTGCGAGAGTCACATCTCAGGTGGAGCCCAGCCTAGCGACTGAGGTAGAAGCTCTTAGATGGGCAATCCTTTCAATCTGTAGGTTGGGGTTCATCCGAATCATCTTTGAAGTGGACGCAAAGGAGTTGGTGGAGATAGTTCAAGGTGCTTCACAAAAGGTCCAAATTCATCCTCTTTGCCAGGATATTCGTAGAGCCCTATCTTGCATCCCTGAGGCTGAGGTGAGATTTCATGTAAGGGAAGGTAATAAAGTTGCTGATAGAATAGCTAGGATGGCTCTCTCGTTTGTGTCTGATGCCCCTAGGTTATATACTATCATGCCAGAGTGGATTAAGCATTTGGCTTTAAGGGATTATCCTACATTGTAATTTGACATTTGGAGTAATGAATTAGATGTTGAGACGGAAAAAAAAAGTAAAAGCTCATCATTCAATCAATATGAAGATGAGTTATTATGTCGTGTCTTTCTAGAAATATCACAAGACCCAATTTCTAGCAATAATCAGTCTTTGGGAAAATTTTGGGTAAAAATATAAAATAGTTACAATGAAAAAAAATATGGGTTGGGAAATTAAAAGTGAAAGATCTTTTCAAGGTATGATGAATACTATTATTTAAGCGGTCATAAACTTGAAGAGCTGCATCACCCAAGTGGAAAATATGCATTCAAATGGTACATCTGAATATGACATTGTAAGTATATTTGTTTTTCTGCTCCATATTATATATGATATTTATTTATATATTTTAACAAAATTATGTTTTAAACATTCTACAGATGGAAAAAGCCAAACAATTGTTGGTTCAAGATCCAAAACTGAAAAAAGGTTTTAAATTTGACCATGTGGGGGCTTTGATCAAAGATATCCCAAAGTTTACCGATAATGTCAACATCGGTATTCCAAATACTCCAAAATCATGAAAGTGGTATTGTTGGCTCTCTGACATCACAATCTCCAGATGTGTCTTATTTTTCGATCAATTTAAGTAGCAATGACGGTGGGTCAAATGCATCACAACATCCGATAAAATCAAAGAAAGCAAAACTCAAAAGGAAGATTATCGAAGGTAATAACTCATCTGTTGATACTTTGATTTCATCAAACAATCAACTCTTTGATTTCTTAAAAGAAAATGCATCAAGTATGGGCGAAAGTGTTGAGACTGCTCAATTACGATGCAATATCAAGCAAAATAATTAGCCTTAAAAGAAATACAGGAGGAAAATAAAATATTGTTAACAAATTTAGACTTTATTTTTTATAGTAATATCCGTGAGTTTATTCGGTCTGAACAAGTAAGAATCATACAAAAAAAAACACTTGTATTCTTACTTGTTCAGACCAAATAAATTCATAGAGTCTAAATTTGTTAACCATATTTTACTTTCCTTCTGCATTTCTTTTAGGGCTATTTTTTGCTTGATTTTGTATATGTAATTGAGAAATCTAAACACTATTGCCCATATTTGATGCATTTTCTATTAAGAAATCAAAGAGTTGATCGTTCGATTAAATCAAAGTATCAACAGATGAGTTATTACATTTGGCAATCTTCTGTTTGAGTTTTGTTTTCTTTGATCCTATCAGACGTTGTGATGAATTTGACCCGCCGTCATTGCTACTAATTAAATTGATCGAAAAAGAAGACACACCTGGAGATATTAATGTTGGAGAGCGAGCACTATCACTTTCATTATTTGGAGTATTTGGAATACTGATGTTAATATTTTCGGTAAACTTTGGGATATCCTTCATGAAAGCCCACACATGGTCAAATTTAAGACATTTTTCAGTTTTGGATCTTGAACTAACAATTTTTTGGTTTTTTCGGTATGTAGAGTGTTTGAAACATAATTTTGTTAAAATATATAAATAAATATTATATATCAAATGAAGCAGAAAAAACAAATGTACTTACGATGTCATATTCAAATGCACAACTTGGATGTATATTCTCCACTTGGGTGATGCAACTCTTCAAATTTCTGACCGCATAAATAATATTATACATCCTACTTTGACGAAATCTATTACTTCTAGATTTCTAAATTTTTTTATTATAACTATTTTGTATTTGTACCCATAATTTCTCCAAAGACTGGTTATTGCTAGAAATTGGGTCTTGTGATATTTCTAGATAAACATGACATAATAACTTATTTTCATGTTGATTGAATGATAAGCCTCTACCTTTATCCATATTTTTTTGGAGAAGAAAGAGTTGGTGGAGTTGTGAGCTTTTCATTGGTTCAAGTATATTATTTATATACAATGATGGATGGATATAATTTCAAATGAATGGCCACAAATCAATTTTGTTGATATTTTACAAGGATGAATATGATTTTAATCCAACAGTTGATGATGAGTGAGATCTAATAAAAGGTGTACATTAGTTTCTCAAGATTTTCCTATCTCATTTTGTAGATAAGTTGGATAGGATTTTAATATAATGGTTGATAATGAATGAGATTCAATGAATGATATAGATAAAATCTCAAGATTTTCTTATCTTATATGGTGGACAAATTGGATATGTTGGATACAGAAGATAAATTTTTAATCTCATGGTTGTTGAAAAATGAAATCTAATGAATGGTGTAGATTAATTTGATAAAAAATAAAGAAGCTCATTTATCACTTCAGAATGCATTGACTGATCGTATTTGGGAGCATTATGGAAATAATTTTGTTGAATTATTTGGTGTAATCATGTAATATAATAATTTATAATTTAGTTTATGTGTTTTAATTATTATGTTTATGTAATTTTATCTTATAATGTTAAGTTTTATTTTATTATAAAATTTATAAAATAATTTTAGTTAATGATATTTTTTAATGTATGTTTTTGTTATTTATAAAGTTGTATGATTTTTATTAATAATGATTGTTTAGGGGATTTTTAGTCCTTTTGTGGGGGCAAATCTCCTGCAAAATCGAGAAACACGTGAAGGCCCAAAAAATATGATGGAGGTGTGTTTTTCGAAGCCTCTTGGACACTCAAGTCAGAAACCAACGAAAAAGACTACTATGAGACTAATCAGAGAGCAGAAAGAGATCGTAAAACGAGTGAAGGAAAGTGGGCCGAGAGTTTCTTAGAAGGGTGGAGTCAATTCGGGCCTTTAGCGGTGATATGCTATTTGAGGTGAAAAGAGAAGAAGAGAAGAGTTTGTGGGTTGAAATGCTCCACGGTTCAAGGGCCACCGTCGAGAAGAAGTGAATAGATGAGCAGAAAAAATGATCAGAGAATATGAGATGCTAGCGTTTGAAGGTCACAAGTATCTAGAGAGATAAAATAAACCTTAAGATAGCTAAAAGAGTGATCTCCTTCTTCTTTTGAAGGGACAAAGTTTTTATAGGATTTTACCTGATCCGGGTTAATATATCGGGTTGGTCCATGGATAGCAAGTCGGGTGGGTTGGTCTATGACCCGGTTTGACTGGATTTGAATCTTATGCTTGCGTCACGCTTCTGATGATTTTACCAACTTTCATTGGCGTGTTGTGCCTGCCACGAGACCGTTCCCTGGCGCGTCCCTTTCGTCTTCAGTGTACGGGCTAGTTCGGCGGTTCAAGCGCGATATAGCTCTCGTTGATCCTCTGTTTTTCCCTCTGGCTTCTGCGAAAGATCCTGTTACCTGATACGTGTAAGCAAGATGCATTAAATGCTAATCTCGTGGGTTTGTAAGGGTATGGGTGATCAAATCAGACTAAGGCATATTCCTATTATCGAATGGAGAAAAATTTGAATAGTGTTTCCCGCTTATAGATTTACTCATACCTGGTCCAGAACATTCGATACTGGGACCGGACTGCCGGGGTTGTTTGAACGGTTCTGCTCTCCGAGTACCTGTGTGGATCTCTTTTCCTTATATTCCGACCCTTCCGGATCACCGAACTTAGATCTAGGATATAGAGAAGGTGACCTCTCTTCCTTCTGACCACTCAGTTTCCGACTTTCTGGTGCCTGACAGTGTGGCCTATGCTGTCAAATACGAGAATCCTGGGAATAGGTGGCCCATTGTGCCGGATCTTCCAAATCCGACTGGATTCGAGGCTCAGTGCTATATGTTTAGGTTATATTGGACTGTATGAGTCTTAATTTGGCCCAGGAGGACAGTACCTGCAAAAAATTCATGGACGCCACATGCAAACACATGATTCGTCCACGTACGAAAGATCAAATTTATCCCCAACAATTATTAAAAGTAAAAACTAAAGTGCAATATTTTAACTTTTGTGAGATTAGATTTGAGGTTTTGTTTTTAGAGGCAAACACCATCCAACCTCAAATTTGAAGTTCTCTTTAGAGATACCCTTAAAGTTGTTTTTGGAATGAATAAAACTTCGTATTCAAAGATTTGAGGTTGCCTCGAGATGTCCTAACAAAAAGATCAAATAAAGATGAGTTGTAAAATATAATGAGTAGGTTCTCATAACTAATTTTTATATTAGAATATATTAAAATACAAATTTCAATTCTTAAAAAAAATATGAAGTTATAGATGATACCTTTATATATGATTGGTTAATAATTGTATTTTAGGATTTAAATAAAGCGGAAATAAAATTTGTAAAACCCCATAATCCTTACTCCTTACAATGCAACAATGGCATTGATGGTAATCAACTGTGTCAGTGTCAAGCAAATTATGTTTTTGTCAATGTCCAAAGTCCAAACAAATTACACGTAAACGGTTTCTGCGTATATAAATGGATTGAACTTGGTCCAGACGTGACATGGAAGCTGGTGACATGCGAGCTTGTATATGGCTCTGACTCTGAGTACCCATGGAAATGTTCTCAGACTAACTTTATCACATTACTTTGGTCGGTGAAAATGAATATCCCTCGAATAATCCTTTTGATGAAGTTAAATAAATGTAGAATTAATTAAAACCAACGATTCAAATATATACGTTGTCTTTTTCTTTTTGATGATATATATACGCTTATTAATAGTTTTTCTGTCAGTATACGCTTATTAATACGAGTAGTAAAAATAAGGAAAAATAAATTATTAACTAGATTTTGCATTCACATTACAAGTGTGTAGTTTTTTAATGCTATTGTATTGATAAAATCATATTCAAGTTGTTATATTTATTTAGATGTTGATTTGTTGTAATAAAATTTATCAAAAGTAATTCAGTTTTAATCTCAAAATTTATATATAGATTTTAAGGTTTCAACGATCTTGTTTGTATTTATATATGTGTCGTTTAAAAAATATATTATTTTGTTGAACGCTTAACATTTTGTATACCAAAATCAATCCAAAATATAACAAACTATACTTAGTTAGTATTAACATGAAGATAAAGTATTATACATCACTTACTGTTCAAGAAAATAAGTTTTTTTTATCAGTTGCATTCTTGTTATGTATGTTTTTTATGAAAAAATGATAAAAATAAAAATTATTTTATTTTTTTAGCTAGTTTAGTCGATACAAATTTTTGATTTATTCTAAATTACAAATAAACTAATAAACACAATTTTTGCTTTCATATATTTTCAGTAAATACATATAAAATAAAATTTAAAACTAATTTCAAATCACAAAAATCTATGAACTCAATATAAATTTTAGTCAATGTTATCTTAAATTGGTAAATACCAAACCTTTTGTTGAGTAACATATTGTGTGTGATAACTTCTAAATGATTTTTTATTGATAACCAAAAAAAAGCAAAACATTTCTCTTTATTTTACTATTTTAATGAGTACAAATTATATTTGATAGTATTTAATTACCTTTTAATAAACTATTAAATTATTTTTTGATATATATTAAAATAGATTTCATAAATTTATTGTCACCCTTAAATTATGTTTAAACCACCAATTATCTCCACATATTAATATATGTGTTGTTTTTTATGTTATAGTAAATATTATTTTAATTTTTTGTAATTTCAACTTGTATATATATTTTTAAATTCTTCTAATGCTTGTAGGTTAGTATACTAAAAAGATAAATAAAAACAATAACAAAATAATCAATTACTATTTAATAAAAATAGTATTGACACAAAAAATTAGTATATGTTTCTTCTCTAATAAAAAAATAATATTTTTCATCATCTTCAATTTTATTCTTTTTATATCAGTTTTATAAGAAAATTGAAAAACAATTTTAAAAATTACTTTCCTTCTTTAATTGATTGCATATTATTTTATACCTAAGTAAATTTGTATTTTGTTTAAAAATGTTTTTAATTTAATATTATTTTAGTTTTTTGTTGTTAATAGGAATTTAATACATAATTTTATTCTTTCATATATATATATTATTACTCAAAATATTAATTTTGGAAACTTTCTTAATTTTGAATGTTGATGTGGATCAATAAAATTGCCCTTTTTAATGTAGACACCTTTAGGAGCATTTAGTTTCAACTTTTATTAATAATAGGATTAAGTGATTTGATTGTTAGCCTTAAATATATTTTTGTTGGCCTCAAGAATTAGATTTTTTTTAAAAAAAATTTAAGATCGCCTCAAGAATTAGTTGCCAAGCCTAAATCATTGTTAGGTTTGATCTCGTTTCCTGCCTTCCAATTTAGGCAGTTACTTCTAACACTATCTCAAAATCATTTAAATTTTATGCCAAAAAGAAAAAAGAAAAATTAATAAACTCTTCGAACTTATATTAAAAAATTTTGAAAAAAACAAGATTCCTATTAAAAAAAATATTTATTTGTAATCGTATGCGTAGGATACACTGCTATTTCAACTCGGATTCTGAAAGTGAAAACCATTTATGAGATGTTTCATGTTGACTTTAATTCTATATCTTGAATTGTTCCAAATTCATATGGTATTTACGTAAAATAAATAAAAAACAAGGGAAATAGTGAAACCCAAATTCAATTTGGTTGGTTATACGTCATTTACATAAGTACATTATCCATTAATATGTGTCATTTATAAATTTAACAATGCTTCAAGTTGCACCCATTTATTCATTTTTCTTCGACTATTGACCAATGACCATGTCTTCTTGGGATCTTTAAATATTCGACTTTTCTATTCAAATGAGAGGGCAATATAAAATCATTAAAAAAAAAATTATACGAGTTAAAGAACCTTTTTTGTCAAATATCATGGCCCGGTCTTAACTTTTTTTTTGTTCCTTCAACTAACGATTTTAATTAAAATAAACAAAAGGCTCGATTGCCCAAACCAGAAATGTAGAGTTTATAGACGAAAGAAAAAGTATTGGAACAATTCCTAAACTTTACGAGCCAAACAACAATTTTTAGTAGGCTAGTCCAATTTCAGGAGGGACTTCTGTCCCGATCCATTCCTATTTTTAATTTTTAATTTCATTATTAACATTTCCGAAACGGCTAGTTGGTTCTTAATTTTAAAAACCAAGACTTTTTTTCTTCGAATTTCATTAGAATTTTATAGATTATGCACATAACATGATATTACAAGAAATATAAAACATTCGAAGGAAACTTTTTTGTCTAGTGATTGCTTTGGCTAAAAGCCTAAAACTAAGTATTAATCATATAAGGAGACATAATTTTAAAAGCTTAGTCTTGTTGGATTCGTTAAAAGGAAAAAAAAAAATTTGGTGGAACGAAACATTTGACTTCTAACCTTTGACAGTTCACTCCCAGCATCTGATTCGTTCGTCTTGTTCAAGACGCATCAAAAAGGCCTATAAAAGCCCAATATTAAATATCGAACTTGAAAGTGGGCCCATAGCTTAAATAAATTGTACAAAATAGTAGAGAGTTTCGCCGCCACCCGCCAAAACTGATATTTAATCACAGACGTCAACAAAAAAGTAAATAAACGGTGGAGATTCAAGCTCTGGATGGCACGTGATAATATCTTCCTCTGCACGTGCATCTGTAGATGACGCTACATGATTCGGCAACGGAGCACTGAAAGCTAATCATCACGCGTTTACACGGCGAGCATGCACCACATGCGTATGAACAGTCCGGCAAACTAGATCCTGTCGGATACATTTCCATTTCTACCCCTCCTTTTCCCTTTATTTCCTTCTTCACCACAAAATGTAATTAAAATAGTCAATTCAAATATTCAAAAGACATCCAATATTATTATTTTCTTACAAAGACATCTAATTAAGATGACAAAATATTTATTTTAAAAATGCAGTTTCAATTATGGGTAGGTAATCGGACATACCGTTTGGTTTCCGTCCCGTTTTGTTTAAAAACCACTTAAAGATATAAAGAAATTATTATTTCTTATATTACAGTTGTTTTAGCATGATTACATTTTTTTGCCGACACATGATCTACATATTTATATCTATTACTTATACACATATACAATAAAAATATAAATTCTAATAAATGTTAGTTGATTCTGTTTGGTTTGCTTACATCAAAAAAAATATACACAAAAACAATTTTCGGATTCTAAGATAATGATGAATTTAAATGGTTTTTTAGGTTACGGTATTTTCCTACCCTTTAGTTGCGATCATCAAATCACACTTTGAAGATTAAAATCTGGTCGTTTTGGTACAGTAAAAGCTTTTATATACTATTTTAAGAAGTGCTATATTTTATACATATATAAAAAATTATAGTGCACCGTTCGAGACTTGACCTACCTTATGATGCGTTTGAGCTCGTTCTATCTCGGCGTTTTTCTTTCCTCCACCATTGACCGTAATTTCTACAAGAATAAGGCACATAAGAAGTTGTTAAAATATGAACAAACGATTTAACAGAAAAATATAATAAAAAATGAAAAAAGTAGTGATGTGACGGACTTAGTGGCGGCGTGCGAATGCAGTTAACGACCAAAGAACACGCGGCGAAGACTACGACGAGGGCAAACAATAACGTGCGGAGAAACTTCGACATGTTTTTATTTTTTATTATCTAATTAGAAGAAAATAAAATAAAAACCTTCTGATTTAGAGAGAGACTCTAAAGAGAAAGTTCTAGAAGATTAGAGGAGAAGAGAGTTCTACGTGTATTGTGTGATGTATATGACAAAAGGTGGTGGAATAATCTAAATGCAAGTGATTTATATGTGTATATATAGTTAGTGAAAAGATGAGAAGAATGTGGTATGTGTTATAATAATAAATGAAAAGAAGATGTACACCTGATGAAGGTCACATGATTCTCGTCGATTTTTGATATTATTCTTCTAAAAAATAACATTTATTCGTTTAAATACATCAACGAACATGTTCACTATCATTTACATTCAATTCATTTGAATATTTTTGAATCTAAGAACTGTTCAAACGTAGCAACAAGGCCAGAGATATATGGTTGTCCATTTGTTTCACTTTACATGCTTTGAAAAAACAAAAAAAAACTAGTTCACTATCGATTTATGAATTATGACCAAGATATCATGTATATACACAAAGTGTTCCCGTAAAGCCTATAATTTTTTTCTTTTAAGTAGAAAAAATTGGCTTGTTAATTAACTCATGAAATTTTCATATTTAGTTAGTGTTTTGTGAGGATCTCATAATCATGAGCGTGACATGTAAGCTTATTAGGATGTATCTAAAACACATTTGAGTTTTCATTCTCAATATTAATTAAGAATTGATAATTATATTGCTTGATCTGGGTGCACCTTCGGGCAGCAATACCGTCCGCCGACTATGAGCAAATATAAAGATCATAGCTAGCCAAATAAAATTAGACCAAGCACCCAATAGTGAGGAATGAAAACATTTAACAACAAAGAAACACATCAAAGAGAGAAACGATATTTATATATAGATATATATAAAGTTTATATTATTGGACTTCAGTAGATATATATATATATGTATATATATATAAATTAAAAAGATCATGAGACGAAGAGACGAGGAGGTGTTTGTCTGGCGTGTAATCAATTCCCATGCAAATATAAGCTAATCTATTACTAATTACAGTTTATCTTATTTACATCTAAGTTGTCCACATAATATTTCTAACATCCAAAAAGTTGCCTTAAAACGTCCACAAGAGCAAAACATATACAGATTACCCGATCAAATATTTCTTAATAGTGGTAAATCAAAATTTTCCTGTAGTATAAAATTGGAAAATAACTTTAAAATTTATCAAGTGTTCATTTATTTTCTGTATTTTTTGCTTTTTATTTTCTTTTTATTTGCTTTATATTTCTCTAATTAGAAAATCATTTTGTTCTATTTTCTTACAGACGTTTTCATTTGAGAAAACCATGTATTACAAATTCATTTTTTTCTATTTTCTTACAAATTTTTTCTTTTGAGAAAACCAAGTATTTTGGGGAAAATAATAGTGGAAAATAATGTAAGGATAATTAAAAGTTAAAAGTTAATTAAAAATATTTGAATTTACTTACTATATTATGATGGACTTACAAGATTGTGGCATGTATCATTGATAATTTAGATTGTGCATCAATATAAGAGAAAAATTAAATTATGTGTTTAAATGGAAAACTGAAATTAAGTAAAGTTAAACAAAAGTAGAAACTATACCATAAATAAAAATATAAACTATAATATCTATAAAGCTTATATAATATAAAAAATCAGAAAATAACAGTTTATTATCGTATATGTGTAAGTAAATATATATCTAAATATAACGATTCAAGTTTAAACGTCTGAATTTTTTTAATGGAATCTTTATTAGAGAATTATCAAACATGTAAAAAATTAGTTTAGAAAATAAATTATTTTTAGAATGGATATTTATATATAATTAGATTTAAATTTAAGTTATATAAGATTTGAAATCTCTTTCTGGAACCTTCTCATTCATTTAAAGGGATTGTTTTTCCGGATTTATTCATTGGTAATTTGTATCAATTTGAATTTACAAAAAACAATATCTGAATATTTAAATGAAGATTTTAATTTAGAAACTGATTATCAGTTTTAGAGTTTAACATTTTAGTTTTCTATATGCGTGTCCCATGAATCTTAATATACTTATATATCAATATGCATGGATGGATGGACATGTATATAATTAGAAAAACATGCATTAATTGTAGGTGTGTATTGTCAAATCTATAGGGAGAGAAATTATACGTATAGATAAGGTATATACATGGTGTGGGACCAAAACTGGAGTTACGAATGGAATATTTAATAATTGCAGTCATAAGGTTCACAATGGGAGAGAGGGCACAGAAGCAGCCAAAAGTGTTTCAGAGATCTTGGAAAGTAACCTGTCACACAAACGTGAACCTTGCCCTTGTTTTTAATGAGCTTTTCCCAAACTAAACGGGACCAAAAATGAGCTTTAATTCTGCATCTTTTCATTTAACAAAATTAGATACATACTTTTATGAGTCAAAAATTAGAACAAGTTAAATAAGCTAGTCCTCTCACTGTCGCTAATACCAAAATTTCAAATATGTGCTTTGCTCTAGAAATGTTTCGAAAGTCAAGCCTGATAAAGTAAGTCACAACCCTATTTCATAAAATTTATGATGCGTACTACATTAAATCATTAAAGTGTTCTTATTTTCTCATCCTAAGAAAGTTTATGTTATCTTTGTTAAACAAAAAAAATCATGTTATTTTTATATGGGTTGTAATAATCGAGTTTAGACTGATGTCAATATACAAAACAAATAGTTGCACATTTAGAGGAACATAAGTTTCTGGAAATAACTATTTTACCAAATTTTTACCATTTAGGTTGAAAAAGGTAGAACATAATTCAACTCATTCAACTGGGAAAAATTAAAGAACAAATAACTTCTTCAAGGAAAATATTGATCTACTATTTGCAAAAGAATGAGAAGAATATATTATTTTTGTATTGTTTTATTTCATTTAACCATTATGCACAGCTTGGTTGATGATATTTCTCATCAGTTTATGGGACAATACTTGGTTGTTAACTTGTTGATATTTCTCATTAATTTTACGGTTCCTATTCATTTTTTCGCAATGATCCATAAAGCAATTTCCGCTATGTCCATAACTTCCACAACTGGCACGTATACTCTTGAGGATCGACGTTTTAATTAAGAAGCCACAGTTGTATAACAATCTCGTCATTTTTCACTTATAAAAAAAGAAATTGGAATATATTAGCTAACAGCTAACAGCTGAAATAAGAACTTTGTCCAGGAAAGAATCACCAGTGACTAAAGATGCACACATATATTACTTCATGGTTTGATAACTTCACACCTAGATTTTAAAACAGGGCCATATATGTTCATATCTACATGAATCACACCAAACTCATAGCGAACTATAAAACCACAATAGATTCCCAACTTCAAACACCAGTAGGAACTCCTTCCACCATTGCATCCGTAGGGTACATTTTTTTCTCTGCCTCTTATCTTTTCCTCAAAGTACCATAAAGATACCAATAATAGTGATCGCATCACCAATACCTGATTTCATAGAATAAAGTACATGTCAAGTTAGAATTTAAGAGAGTATTCTCATTATGATAACAGGCATAATATTTATGATAACGTGCATAACATTTAGGTTTTATGGTTTGTCGCAAATGTCTCGCAAATCCATTACAAATTTGAGATGGATATCTTCCCTCCTAAATGGCCTGTTCTTTTTGTACTCCAAATAGTTTAAAAATAATTTCCATCAAATCTATATATAAATGTTATTTAGAAACTATTTAAATTAGCAGAACAAACATAAAGTCAGATGAATAAATAAAGAAAACAGAATCATAACAATAGGAATGAGATAAATCTCTTCCTCATGTAGAGAATAATCGAGGGAATTATACGAAGAGATCAAAATCCCTTGCAAATCCATTGCAAATTCGAGACACATTTGCTAGGACAACATCCGTATCAAATTTTCCATGGATTTTATAGGGATTTCGAGTTAGATTAACCACGTTTTATATTGAAAGTAACTGCCCAGTTGCAAGGACATTTTTTGTCGGGCAAGATAAAACAAAACTCTACTCTCTTTGAAATCTTCGCAAAAGCACAATCAATACAATCACGAAACTCCACTGAGTCTAGGCCACAATATGGATAGATTCTTTAATTATCCCAAACCAAATCTGAGTTAGATAACTTCAGATTCTCACCAGTTGAAGCTTAACCAGCTAAAATCACACCATCCAGATTTTAATTTGTCAAGCCATCTTGCTTTGTATTCTCATCCACATCTTCAGAGTCAGGCATCAGAATCTTCCTTGTTACAGTGATTAATTGATTATCACCATGAGAACATACTTTTGCATGTTCTACTTCCTTATAAACGAAAAATAACCTTTGAAGCCCATCATATTCATTTTTAACTCACCTCCCTTCATCTCTAGATCTACATCTTGGTCCACTGCTCCAAAACCAGCCACTCCATCTACAGATTCCATTTTGGTCTATATATATATATATATATATATCAGATAGTTCATTTCTATTTTTAGTCCCACATCTAACCAGAAGAAATGCCACCTTTTCTACTTTTTACTCGACCTCAGCTAGCTTCACTATCAGGTCCGGAGCTTGACATCTCGAAGCATCGATCAGCTACAAAAAAAAAAAAAATTATAGTCTATGGAGAGATAAAGAAATGTGCGCTTTTATTGCATAGCACAGTTAAAGACAAATTCATGGTACCTTCTATTCTAATCTACTAACGTATTGGGTTTTCTTTTAGCAAAGTATCGATTTAAGTCCGTTTAAATTTTTATTATAGTCGCTAGGTCATTTTCTTAACGTTTTAGCTCCACTTCTCACATTCTTTTCTGGTAATAAAATTTACATGATGTATTCACCAAAAAATCAAGACAATTCTTTGCTCTTTAGAACATTTCCAAGAGATACTTCTTAATTTATTTTTAATTTTTGAAATTGTGACTGCGGTGAGCCTCTCAATGAAGCAAAGCCATTAATTTTGTTGCATTTTAGTCACTACAACTATATATCTCATAAATAAGTTTATTAATTTTATTGTATTATTTTAGTCCTAAAATTTTGTCT